GAAACTTAGGGCCATTGTCTTGGCATGCATTTGACCTGACTTTGCACGTTTAGTGGACATTATGAGTGGTTTTCAGAGTATTTTATTAGGTCACAAGGGGTCTGGTCAGTCTTGTCCAAGACTAGGGAACAAGGACAAAAATCTTGAATAAAGAATTCATGCCCATGCTCTCCACTAAGGCTAATGATGTGTTGACTTTGGCTAAACTTCATTAGGGCCATTTTAGCTTAAACAATACCTTATTAAGTCCTAATTAAATGCAGCTCTTGGGTCATGGGGAAAGTGGGCCGGAATTAATGCATTTGGGCTCAAGAAAGTGGGCTGGCAGGCTGCCCACTGGGCTGGGCGCGTGGACGCGGGCTGGGCGCGAGGGCGCTGCTGGGCTCGCGCTGGTGAGGGCTACTCGTGGGAATTTGGCCTTGGCCCGAGTTGTAAGGGTTGGGAAGGGCTTCCAACACTTAGAAAAATTTAGGGAACTTATGCCAAGGCTTGAGTGAGACTTTGAGGGCTCGGCGGCCATGTTTGGCGCGGCTGAGGCGCGGCTCAGGGCTCGGGCACGAGGCTCGACTAGGGCTCGGTTATAAAATATTCAAGACTTAACATTGGTATTCTAATACACTTAGAAAATTGTTCTAAGTATAAAATACTAATATCTGTCTAGGCTCGAGAATGACTAGAGAAATAACTCGGAACCAAACTAGGGTTCGGAGTCGATAATTTCTCCAATCGACTCACTATTATTTAACAACCCAAATTAATGGATTAATCTTAACTTAAAATTGATATAGAAATATTCTAAGGAATAATCTATCATTTTAGAGCATTTAGCATATAAAGTACAACTCGGGAATTTTTCTGAAATTTACGGAATTCACTTATAGTCGAGCAGTGAAACCGTTCTTACTATTATTTCTGATTTGGGCGTTACAAAAAAAATGACACATTCATAAATAAAAATACTATCAATTCACGTACATTTCAATGAACCTTTAAAAAAAACAAGAAGACATTATTTTTTATGAAAGACATGTTTTTCATTGCAACATATACTGAATATATATTAACATAAACGCAACATATACCCACTTGGACAGTTGCATGAATTATAATATGGAAGGCATGTTTTTCATTGCAACATATACTGAATATATACTAACATAAACACAACATATACCTATCTGGACAGTTGTGTGAATTATAATACATGTTTTTATCTCTCTATTAAAAACGTGAACACTGAAATAATTTTTTTTTTTCAATCAATAAATATACCTGACTATGTAGTATATTTTTTCGAGAATGTTCTTGCATCCAATAACCGTCTCAGTTTATCTTCGAGTTTGTTGAAGATGAAATATATTTCAAATTCAAATTGGGTATCGTCCTAATTTAAAGAAAAACGGTTCAATTTTGAGATGAGGATATATTCCTTTCATATACGTAATGATTTTTTTTTTAATTTTTTATGTAACTGATTCATCCGCAAAATAAGGGAGTCGGGAACATATGCAATTAAGCCGCAAAACAGCTTTCTTCCTTTGTAACTGCTTCCTTCCTTTTTAATTTTCTATCGTCCTAATGTTATTAACTGATTCATATGTAACTGATTCTAGGTACATATGCAATTAAAATTGTATTAGCCGTAAAACAGCAAATAAATCCAAATCGTCCAGAAGGTGTAAGAATTTCCCTAATTTTTTTCAGTCCATTTGCTAAAGTTAATTACCTGGTTTGACTGACTTTTGAGAGAGTGACATCTAATTTGACGACTAAGTTCATTAAAATGCCACTTAAGTGTAGGTCGAGGACAAGTGTCTTCATTAGGTGTAGAATAAGGCCACCTCCTACTTGCTTTTCACTTATAAATTGCATAGCATCTGAAAGGTAATGGTTTTTATTCCATTATACTTAGAACACTTCATAAGTTCATTATATACTTAGCCATATGCCGAGAAAGCCGAGAGCTTCCAAGTGATTGCTATGAGTTGATTTTCGAGTTCTAGCCAACCATACTTGATAGCACCAGCAAGATAACCTTTCATTCTCGTCCCTCACTCATCATAGAAGGCCTTAGCAGCATCAAATTCAAGGAAGCAAGTCAAGAAGCCGCAGCAATCTCCTCCCCCAAGTTCGAGCGACGACGAGAGACAAGCACCCCTATCTTTCTTCCATTTTCGTGTCTTTGAAGAAGGTAAGGAGCTACCCTTTTTAGTATTCCTTGTAGCTGAGATATAGTGTTTAATGGTGTACTTACATGCCTTATATGTTCAGTTTTTGAGTAATTTTAAGCATGGAAAATGATAAGTTGCTCTCAGCTCACCCGCATGTCATATATGTTGTGTTTTCATTAAAATTTGAACATGATATAAAAAACCTGGGAAAGTATGCTTATATATGAGTATTTCTTGTGTAAAGGATGACTGCATAGGAAAAAGAATCATGTCATTTGGTTAAGTATAGCTCGAGTTATAGATTTTTTAAGTTTATCATGCAAATCGAGTTTTGAAGCCAAGTTTCAGCTGCGTACTTTGAACTCGAATAAGTCAGCCTATGTGCATGAGAAAAATGTGAAATTTTGACGACATGTCTATCTATATGTTAAGAGTGTACATGCCAAATTTCAAAATTTTATGTTAAGAAATGAATGAGTTAAAAATGCTAAACCGCATGCATGTCAAGCTGATTTTACTGTGAAACTTTTATTAAGAGTTGGTGGTTGAAACGATACCAGTAATAGGCCGGTTTCCTACAGTTGACTGATACTGGATTTCTCCATAAGATCAATAAGAGAGGATATCCCATGACCAAGTTTTAGCTCAATATGATAAGTATGTGATTTTATAAAATTCTTTGAAGTTATGCATGTAATTAGCATAATTATATGTTAAGTTTAGCACTTGAGTTGAATGAGCTAATGAAGTGATATTGAGCTGAAATTCAAATAGCAAGTACTTGAATATGTCTACTATGTGACTGCTAAGTTTCAGTATTTTTAGATGCATGTGTGATTTTATAAAAATCATGGAGTTAGAGGTGTTCATTTAACTCATATAGTTGTTTAAGTGAGAGTGCTTGAACATGAGTGTCTATCCCTCCATTAGAATCCATTTAGTATGCAAGTTGGCCTCGGTCATGTCCTGTAGCACCCGAGAGGCACCAGTCGTGCCCAGTGCCATGCCAGTCGCACCCAGCCGTGTCTAGCACCACGCCAAGGCACCAGCAGGCCCTGCGCGGGACCGAGCCCGGTCAGCCCGAGTCAGTTGCTGACTGCCCGGTCCATAGTGAACCGACGGTCTAGTCCAGTCCAGTCCGGTTTGGTCTAGCCAGTCAGGGAATCGGCTGGTTCAACTGGAGGTCCGAGTCATTTTTGGTTCGTTTGTTTCTGTCCGAGTTTTATTACAAAATTTTTAGTATTTTCCCAAGCCAAATCAGTTCAGTTTAAATTATATCTATTATTTCCGGACTTAGTATAAATTTGGCAAACCCTTAGAGTGTTCCATTTAGTCCGGATAAGTTAACAGTTAGAACTGAGCATCATAGCATATAATTGAGTAGTTTGAGCATAGTATTTAGTATTCGTTTGCTTATATTTTTATGTAGCTTGAGGAGACAGCTATCCAGCACAAGACTTACATTTCAGTACCAGCAGTTCAGGTGGGGACCCAGACTGGGTATTACATTGACTATAATTTCTGATATCATGTCTGAGGTATGTATATATATTTTAACCGCTTAGGGTGGCGGCTGAGTTGCCTTAATATTCCATCCTAAGTTCTTGTGGCGGCCATATAGCCTTAATATTCCATCAGAGTGTGCACATGGTTACCGGCCAGATTGCCGAGAGACAGTACAGTTTTAGTTTCAGTTACAGTTTTAGTTTCAGTTTCAGTTTAATTTTATATATACTGACGATCATGATATGGTTATTTTTTTTGCTTTTTACTTTAGTATGGGTTTCTGCGGAGCACAGTTGACTTTTGTGCTCACGCCTCACTACTTTATCTTTTTCAGATTACAGGGTCGGGTTGGAGGTGTGAGCTCAGCAGTGGTGGTCGTGGTCGCAGACTTGGACCAGTTTGCCATTTTTGTGGGATATTTATACTTCAGTCTGTATATTTTATTGCACCACGAGTATTTACTTCCGGTTACATTTCAGTGTTTAGTTTTTGAACTTGCATGCCAGTATGTACAAATTCTCAGATTTTACCCAGTCCCCTAGCGTGACTTGGGGTCCAGTATATCATGCAAGTTTAATTAAAGAATTATACTCTGTTTTCTTTATGTCTAAACTAGTAGTTAGACCAAGTTTAAAGAAAACGAGTTTTCAGTATACGCAAGTTTTTATAGTAGCATCCCGAGTCAAGTTAAATGATTTTGAAAAATTTATAAGTATTTTCGAAATAAAGTTGCAAAAATTTTACTCAGATACTAGTAAGAAAGTGGGGTGTTACAGTAGGCATTTGTTCAAAAAATAAAAATCCATCACGACTAAGGCCGTGAGGCTGAATAGTCGCATGTATTGACTAATCCTTTGAGTGTGAGCATGTGTTCCAAACATAAAATCCATCATGATTAAGGCCGTGAGGCTGGATAGTCGCATGTTCGACCACTCCTTTGAAGGTGGGCAGGCAGTCGTTGTAATCAAATCAAAGTTAAATAATCTCCTAGTGGTAGGTCGATTTACAAGGTAACTTGGAGTAACTTTTGTGATTCTATTAAAAGGGAAGAGCCTCAGAGGGAGGTCGATTAAAGAATCACTTGGTGCAAGTTAATACAACTCTTATTGATAATTACTGAACACATTTTCGAGGAGTTATCATCGATTAAAGTTACTAATCGGTTGAGTGGAGTTAAATTTACAAGGATATTACACGTTTCATGACATCAAGCAAAGAAACAAGGTATACTGGAATTGATAAGCAAAACAGGAGTTCATTACAGCGCATTGTTATTTGGGATACAAATAAAAATACGAGCAAGAAGAAAAGTACATTAAGCTTTTAAGAAGCATTCGAAGTTGCTTCGGTGTTAGTAGCCTGGTCGGCAGTTTGATCGGGAGGATTTGGAGGAGTTTGTTCAGCATGGACGACAGACTCAGGGGGCTACTCAACTTGCTGGCTAGAGCCAAAAGTCGACTCGGCCACATCAGATAATGGTCGTAAGAGAGTCGATTCGGCTAAAGCGAGGGACATTGAAACAGGCAGCATGCTAGGGTCGATTTCCACAAATTCCCTCACCAATTCAATTAACCTTGATCTTATTGGCTCCATCAACTCCTTCCCAATCCTAAACTTCCGCTCCACACAACCCTCTACCATCTGAATCTCCTCGATTTCCACCTCCTCCTTCGACCTCGAACTGCTAGGTCGATTCGACACCTCCTCACTTGGTTTCATCTGCTTTCTCGTCAAT